TGACATATATTCAAAAAATATATACAACCCGAGGGTAGATACTCATCCACAGCAAACTTGGGCTATAAAGGTTCAAATTAAATGAGCAAAACAGGCTCAAAACGTGTATAAGGTATGTCAAAAAATTGCTAGATGGCCTCAAGGTTAAATGAATGAAGTGGCAAAAATCAAATTCTGCTCAAAGGAATCGTCTATTAGCCATATAACCGCTGTTGACTGGAAGAACTTTCTTCGCGGAGTTTCCGCCTGGCAGCTTTTGCATACTCCAACAGTTATCGGCGGTCCAGGTCTACAAATCGAGGTCGATGAAACGCTGATATCTCGCCGTAAAAAACACGCAGGGTGGGTCCTTCCACAGCAGTGGATTTTCGGAGAGATCGTGCGGGATACTAGAGGTATTCATGTATGCAGTGCCATATCGAACTGCGGCCACTTGGATGGACACAATCCAGGCTTGCATCACTCCCGGATCAATCATCATCTCCGATATGTGGGCATCATACCAAGGAATTGAGACGATGATTGAAGTATACTAATGAAACGGTTAATCATACCGAAAACTTTGTGGATCCAACGACTAGAGTTCACACACGTCTACAAGCTGCAGAGTAAACGCCGATGCGGCGCACACCGATCTTTAGTGGACAGCTACTTGTGTGAGTTCGTCTGGAGGCAAAGGTACTGAAAAAGCGAACCTTTTCACGCAATCTCACGCTCTTCAATAAAAATCAAAAGTACAAGTTTCATATCCTCTTTTTTCTAATCTTTTTTGGGTGGCGGGGATTAATTTCTTGGCGGGGCTAATCTGGAAAAGATCCCAGGTGTCTGGCCCGAGAGTTCTTGCCTGCTGCCCTATCTTAGACGCTCACTTAAACACGTCAGAGGACTGTGGGAGGTCGTGAGTGACGGGAACTGGTAGACACACACGAGGAGTCGCAGGGAAGTCAGCTCCGAGTGGTGAGATTCCATGAACTAATAGGGTGTCACTCCCACTTGTGACAGGATTACACATTAAGGAGATCAAGCAAAATCAAGTGATACAAAAACAATCATATATGACCAAACTGTTGTATGCTGAGTTTGGAGATCACTCAGATCCAATCGATCAATGTAATAGGGACCTCTCTCCCGGGGGGCAGTGCGTGTGAACCCTTGCAAGGTGGAGCCATGGAAACTCCCAGAACAATGAGATAGCCCATGGGTTCCAAGCATGGCTGAGCTCAAAGGTGCATACCTAAATAGTTAAGACGGCCTTGTAAAGAAGCAATACAAAGCACGTGACCAGAGTTCCTGGAACGCAGATCAATGGAATGAACAGGCGGATCAAGTTTTTACCATGAGACTTTGAAAATCTACTTTCAGTGGAAGGGCGGGGCCACAGGCTGTGGCTAATCTAGCCAATCTGAACAAGACGAAAGTGGATGCTGACTAGAAATTCTGACAAATCAGCTTGGAACTGAAGAAACGCTAAAAATAATAATAATGGCTTTAGATGAAGCTATTTCCATTTTTTAATGATTATTTGACAGGAAATTTCCTCCACAATGTATATTTTATATTTGTTTTTGCCGTTTTTTGTGAATACCATAATTTTACTAACAATGAAAAGTCAATTTAATGAAACTTTATGAGCTTTAGGTGAAAACTCATCAGCTATTTTTGTGCAAACAAGAAAATCTGCAACTCATGTTCACTCGACCATTTGGCACACAAATTTTTCACTGATTTCAAAATTTCTTTCGGAATTTGCCACTTTCGTTGGACACTACCCATTATTTGGTTTCTACGCTAAATGCGTTTAACACTTGGGAGTTCCGCAGCGTATAATTAGTCAGTAGGTCTTGCGACGCCAAGGGACACCAGGCATTTCACTGAGCACTGAGCATTTCACAAATGGGCCAGGAAGGAAATGTGTGATCAGAGGATCGTTCATCGAACACTATCCAGATGAAGTTGCCACA